GGGGGAGAGGGGGAATTATCGCGTGCAAATTTCAAGGGATAAAACCGGTGATAATTCCTACCTGAGCGCCCGTTCTTATAATGTCTCGAAGGAAATGAAACGAATAACTTGCGCGGAATGTGGAAAAATATCCTGAATTAATAATCACGCTTCCATTACACCGTGATAATTATATTTTACGAACCGTAATAATTATTTTCAACGTATAGAATCACGGACGTGTTGGAACGTCAACTTGGAATGTCGCGACATCTAATTCCTCTATGGTTGCGGCGTGTAACACACACGTCGCAGAACTATAACGGCTGGCCGTTGCCGCGCAAAACGTACGATTTCCTAACGTATATATACCCGTATATTCTCGAGCGGCAAAGAACATTCGTCCTCATCAGGATGGACGTCCGAACTGATGGCGACATCAACAGCAGCGTCCGGCGGCGTCGTTCGTCCCAACGTGTCCGGTAAACGAGATTCGCTTTTTCCGTGTACTTATTGGATCACGGAGGAAACGCAGGCAGCTTTCGGAAGCAAAGATTAAGAGGAAGGCGGAGGATCGGGTCCGGGCGCGCGGACGGAGATGGCCAGGCTCTTTAGAATTCAGAAAACGACCTCGGTTCGTTAGCCAACGAACGGTCCACGTATACGCGCGCGCGCGCGCGCACGTGTGCGTGTGTATGGGAGAGAGGGAGGGACGGAAAGAGTGGCGACCGCATAGCTTTTTAATTAAACTGGAAACCGAGGCCGCGCGATTAATCATTATTATCTAGAAAAATTAAAGCTAGCAGCGAGAGAATGTGTTTCGTCCGTTGTGTATGCATATGCACACCGCGCGCGTAACGTGGCAGATTTTGTGCTGTTCGTGCGGGAAGCTGTCCTGCATCCGCGTGTTTATTATGTCGCACAAAATGTCCCGAGAATAGGTGACAACTTTCAACCTTGCAACTACACGTGTGTGACCTCTCTCGTAAAGAGTAAAAAAAAATCGATAGTTTTTACAATTCCTCTAATACTCGCGTGTGCTTTATTAGCGTCGTTAAATCTGAAATGATGCAGCGGAGATCCTAGCTAGATCGAATAATTGCGAAAACGCGCGGTTCGCCTACGAGAAAGAGGCACGACTTTACCGGTGACGATTGTTAAGGAAGTTTGCGCGCGAGAAGAACGAGATGCAGATGAAATTGAAGGCGCCCACAAAGGCTCGGGGCCCTGGTCCGAAATTTGGATTTTTAATCGCACAAAGCGCTAATGAATCCATTTAGTCTTGTGCAGGAGGAAGGGGGGGGGAGGAGGGGCGGTC